GCTGAACAGAAAAAAAGATGGGCAGAACATTTAGAGAAAACCTTAAGCAGGCTTAACCCACTAGACTTAATAAAGTTTGAAAAGAAACAAAAAGTACCACACTTGCCATAAATGAGGGGCAAGCAATACATTCATTCCCTAGCAAATAACGGCGGGTGATAATAATATTACAACACAAATTATCAAAGGAGCAGATCAAACAACTATCTAACAAGTGCTAGAGCTGTTTAACAAAATATGGGAACAGGAAACAGTTCCAAAGCAACGGAAGAAATAATTCATTCTGCCCTCTTTATTTCCGGAACCAAATTTATACAATGGTTCAGAATGTGCAGTGCTCACGGAAAATGGTCTACGTGACTGCTTTGTGGTGGAAACTGGAGCAAAACAAGGCTGCATTCGATCTCCCTTGTTGTTCTAAATAGCCACTGAAAGGCTATACGGGAATCGATTGGGTAGAGAACAGATAACTGGAATATGTAGATTTCGCTGATGCTATTGATCTGTTCAGTAAAAATAACAAAGACATGTAAAGAAAAAACACGGCCTTCTCTAATAAAATAGAGAAGGCCGTGAGAAAAACATACAATTTCACTCTTACGGCATCAAAAGTATGATTACAAATTAAAAAAACAAATATATTATAGAGACCAGCAATAGATCATGTAGATGTCATGCTAGAGAACAAACCAATTAAACTAACGGACCATTTATTCTATTTTGGGAAGCAATTTTGACATAAAGAAATGCAAAAAAGGAGATTATGATACGCATTTGCAAAGCAACTAAAGTCTTACATAAAAGTCTTAACAAATATGGAGCTCCAAGTTATTTAGCTTTAAAGCCAAACTATGAATCTTCAGTTCTAACATCATCATCAATCAGCGAGTCCTTTACAGAACGTCGCTCTCTTCACGGCACACCTGAAAGTATCCCTTTCCCTAGCCAGCTTTCCGGCCCCAGATGCTTTCAATACCAATGCTTCTTCAAAGTCCTGTATCCATCTTCGCCGTCATCGATTCCTGCCTTGATTCCACAAACTGCAAGCTCCATCATCGTCTTTTCGAAGCCAACGTGAAGCTTGATGTGGCCAAAATACTTTAACTTTCGGGACAGAATGCTGTTTATGAGCTAGTTCTCCTTGATGTTCAACTCGTTTTTCCTCTTCCTGATCCATGGTATTCTAAGAATTTCTCTAAAACATTTCAATTCAAAAGCTCCAATCTTTTTCCTCAGTGACTAAGTGAGAGTCCAGGACTCGCAACCGTAAGTTGCCGCAGGAAAAATGCATGATCTTCAGATTTTTACTTCCATTAATTTACTAGCGCTTTGCCAAAGTTCTTCATGCTGTTTAATATTTTGCTAATGCAAGTCTTCTTCTGACTTCTTTTAAGCAGTCGCCAGTGTTGTTATATTTCTTAATTTCCGATTGTGATATGCGGTTGGTGTGTTGAATTTAAGTTCTAACATCGATGCCAGGGAAAGTTGGAGAACCGCCAAAGATATGGGACGGAACTTAAATGCATTTGAAGTTGCTTTCGTTTTTACTTACCCCAAACACGGGAAATGCATATAAGACAAAGAAGGTGTAGATATGTTGGGCACACGCTGATACAAAATGAGCAGAGAATTACAAAACAAGCACTTAAATGGGGGGGGGGGGGCGGTCTGAGAAAAAAGATAGTGTCCGAAAGAAACATTATGAATAACATTATTGCAAGAGATTAAAAAAAATGCAGGGCGTAGATAATTAATTGCTTATCGGCAAAAGTTGCGAATAAAGTGGAAATATTTCTTTGATAATTTGTGCAGCTACTTGTAATTATGGCAGGCAGACCATCGGCTCCGACAGATAAGCAATAATATTCTACAAGTTGATCAACTGGCAGCTGTAGATGTCAGACCTGATGATTTATATAGAATAATGAACGATAAACTACAGTGGTTGCAATGGCTTGCTATGCACAGAATAAGACGGAACTCAGTAGACTGTTCGTCTTGCAACTGTCGGATGTCATTAGTGTCAAGGCTAGAATGTTCCGATAGATTCTCTTGGCGATGTCGTCGCTGTAATACTCGTTGCAGTGTACGGACGGGTTCGTTCTTCGCTAATTGTAAACTCCCAACTGAAAGAATTGTGCTGGTAATGTTTTGCTAGTTGTTCGAAGTGAAGCTGAAAAATGTGATGTTTTTTGAGAGATTGACAAGCTGTGATACTATAGTCAACTATAACAATTATTTTCGGGTAAAGTGTTACAACTGGCTGCTGCTTAACAACCCTCAGTTGGGAGGATTTGATGCTAACGGACAGTCAGTGGTTGTTGAAGTTGACGAGAGCTATTTTTTCCACCGCAAGTACCATCGTGGTTACTTTCGTCTTTGTCAATGTAACCAGGAACGACAATTGTCACCGATGCCTGGCGAGGCTACAACAACGTTGGTCAACTCAACAATGGCATATATGAACATCTTATATATATGACTTTCCAACAATTAACCAAAGGATCAGGATGTGGAGGGCTCCGGCATATCTCAAAATATGTGCTGATAAGAAACACCCACTGCATCAAGCGCTTTTTAGTGAAAAGGGCGACAGACTGAAGAGGGGGAAATCGTGGCTAGGTCGGGCAGAAGGTGTTATTAGGCAAATATGCAGCCTAACCGACATCATACCTGGTGCAGAATGGATACCTGTGCCTCAGGCGTTTATTTGTACATTTTCCTGTATTGTCACACTCAACAGGCGATGTAGAGAAGAGAATCCTGTTGCTGTTAATGCAGAGGTCAACGGTCTCATCGGTGAAAATTCAGACGAAGCAGATGCAATAATCTATACAGACGGATCCGTTATACGCCAAAGAAGAAGCGCATGGGCATTTACAGCACGCTCAGCTGGCAGAACAGTCAAAGAAGCCAACGGCGCCTTCTCCATGACAACCAGCAGCATGACGATGGAGGTGATGGCAGTGACACAAGCGCTTGCCTGGCTTGAAACACAAAAATACACCCGCGTGTGTATACTCAGTGATTCAATGAGTATGATCCGGAGGGTTCAGGCAGGTTCAGTGCGAAGACAATGGCTTAAATCATTACAGAAGTCCACTGTTCGTGGAGTCACCTTTATTTTTGTTCCGGGATACGCAGGCGTCGATGGAAATGAAAGAGCTGACAGGTTGGCTGGATCCGCTATCACTACCGACGGTCAGCCTATGGATCATGCTGATATTATCAATGCCCTCAGAGAAATGGGAAGAATAGAGGACTTTGGTGGCAGTGAATCTACATCACTCGCCATAATGGCAGACTTGGGAATTAAGATCGGCACAGCAAAAAACGAGACGCACACCGGACACGTCAGAAGATTTGTTAATCAACATAGAACTGGTACTATTAGCCATCGGACGTTGGGGTTCATACTGAGGGGAGGATCTGAGCACCTATGGACATGTCCGGAGTGCAATGAGGATAACCCAACTAATCAACTAACTAACTAATATATGAACATCTCGTTGTTGTTCATGCTATTAATTTTGTTGACCGTGTTCACGGAGACATCCACACCCAAACAGTTGAAGGACTGTGGAGGCAAGTCAAAAGGAAACAGCGTTTTCAAGGCGGCACGAGTCGTGCATTGTTTAATACATATTTAGCCGAATTTCAGTGGCGTCACAGTCACAAAGAACATGTTTTCGGACAGTATTTGCAACTGTTGTGCCACAATTTCGACATATAACTGTCAAATATTATTGGCAGAGTTGCCACTTTTCTTTGACGGAAAGTGTATTGTATTTTTTAAATTTTTTTCTGCATTTCCTTCTTTTCGTCTGTCATTTTATTTTCTCAGTGACCACACTAGCTGGTGGTACACACTTCATTGATAATGAACATCCTCTTGTGTTTAGATAAGTTGTAGCCAAGTATATCTTCTCTGCTATGTCGTTTCTACTAAACATCTTGGTATTTTTAGATCCATAAAAGTAGATATGGAATTGTTGCAAGTATAACGCAGCGCTCTCTTCAATATACATCAAATGCATTCGATATTTAGAGAAACAGGCCGACAGTTTTTTTCCTTCTGAAATCCTGAATTGGCTTCTTCTTGTAATTTAATAACCTGATTAAATATGCTTTGTGTATTATATATATTGTTTTCATATAAGTAAAATTTTAATCTTTAATTGACTAAAGTTTTTAGTATTTTACATAAGCGAAATGCTAGTAAAATTAGACAGTAGGATTCTGCATTGCGATCGTCTTTTCCTGTTTTTAAAACAGGTTTTAAGTACTTGTGCTCACAATGTGTAGGTAATATGTGAAAAAAATTATTGTGCAACTGTGTATAGCTTATTTATCTTTCTTTTAAAAAATTTCCACTGTGTGGAAAGGGGGGGGGTGGGGGGGGGGGAAGAGGGCACACATGTTTCAGCGCCTCAATTATTATTTCACGGCGCTTAACGGCAGAAGTGAAAACTGATGATGATGATCTAAACGTTGCAACCCATCGACACAGCGCTCCGATGGATCGAAAATTATTCCTCCCCACGTCACTTCAGTGGATCGAAAACTATTTCTAAACGCGCAGATGTGGAAACTGATGATGATGGCCTCAATTATTTCACGACATTATTGGTACGTATTGTTCCATTTTTTTTTTGTTCGTGTACCATATTTTGTATAACCTCTTTATAACCCCTTGAACCTCTTGAGGCTCTAAAAGGGATGTTTTGGACAGTAAGTAATATGGGACCGGTATTCGGAAGAGTGCCCTAAACTCTATTGTCAGAAATAGATAGATCTGCATGCAACAAAGCCGAGTGCATGAATCGAATGTGAGCCCTATGTGACGTCTAACTGCACATAAAGGATGGTGAATTGATGATGATGTTGAGCGTACAAGTTCCGGTTCCGGTTTGTGATTTGACTGGCTAGTGCGGCGGCACGGACAAACATTGGGATTGTTATTGTTTATGACGGTCAGTGCGCATTGTTTGTGACGGTTAATGTGCATTGTTTGTGACGGTCAATGTGCATTGTTTGTGACGGTCAATGTGCATTGTTTGTGACGGTCAACAATGAGTACAGATCCCGGCTCTACTTTCAAATTTGGCCGGTAAGCTGGACTGCTTCGGCCGGCTTAGTGGGAGTTATGTCCCGTGGCCGCACTCAAAACAACTCGCGGAAAAAGTCACGAATCAAATGGCATCATTCGGTTGCGTAGGGTGTCTATCATCGTCCTACGGTTGCGTGTAGGTCTGCTTATTGCATATAGGTTGGTCTAGGGTTTAGGAGAATGGTTTGATTTGAAAATTTTCACGTAGGAGGTCGAAATAGTGGTCGACAATCTGACGTTTGTGGGAGTGGCGCCACTGAAACTCTGTCAAATATGACGCCAATAGCGGGCGGCTGGTGCCCAGTCGCTGGGGAATTGTCCGTGTCAGTAGCATCCACCGTCCGTTGACTGTTTGCGCGTGCATGCGACTGTGCGCGATTATAGGTAACTACGGCGTCATATTTGGCAGAGTTTCAGTGGCGCCACTCCCACAAACGTCAGATTGTCGACCACTATTTCGACCTCCTACGTGAAAATGTTCAAATCGAACCATACCCCTAACCCCTAAACCCTAAACCCTAACCCTAAACCCTAACCCTACCCCTCATCTTACGCAAACAACCAACCTACACGCAATAAGCAGCCCTACACGTAACCGTAGGACGATGATAGACACCATACGCAACCCTACACGCACCCGGATGATGATAGGTAAGTATGTCATTTGATTCGTGACTTTTTTCGCGACTTGTTTTGAGTTTGGCGAAGGGACATAACTCCCACTAATCCCCACTAAGCTGGCCGAAGCAGTCCAGCTTACCGGCCAAATTTGAAAGTAGAGCCCAGATCCCTGTAAACAGAACTTAAGTACTGCCGTATTGTTTGTAAACTCCGCTTTTGTAATAATAATGGCTCTCCTTTCAGTTTCAGCCGGTAGTATTATTAATTATTATAATTGTAAATAACATTTTAATAGTTACTGTACTACTAACTACATAGGTTTCTGAGTCTAGCAATATTATAATATACACTGTACACACTTAAAATAAATAGTTTTTTTAATGTGTTTTGTAGACTATCAGCTGTTGTACTCGGACCTGAGTCAAGTTTGTGACAGTAAAGACGCTGATTCTAAAATGGATGTTGATTATGACACCCTGGACAAAGATCAGGTATGTATCATTTCCCCCCCCCCCCCCCCCCCCCCTTTTTTCATAAAAATTTGTGATATAAATATTATTAATTGAAGATAAAATGTACAGTAAATTATTTGTAATAGAGATGTAATTTGAACATTGAAGACAGTCAGTAAATAGATTAGAAAATTTGGCTCTTCTTTCAATACCGGACGCGGGCTGGACGGCTTAGTTCGGTTTAGTGGGAGTTCTCTCCCTTGGCCGCACTGCTAACAGTGAGCGGAAAAGTCACGAAACAAATGACATACTTATCTATCATCATACGGTTGCGTGTAGGGTTGCGTAGTCATCATACGGTTGCTTGTAGGGTTGCGTAGTCATCATACGGTTGCGTGTAGGGTTGCGTAGTCATCATACGGTTGCGTGTAGGGTTGCGTAGTCATCATACGGTTGCGTGAAGGGTTGCGTAGTCATCATACGGTTGCGTGAAGGGTTGCGTAGTCATCATACTGTTGCGTGTAGGGTTGCCTATCATCATACAGTTGCGTGTAGGGTTGCGTAGTCATCATACGGTTGCGTGAAGGGTTGCGTAGTCATCATACTGTTGCGTGTAGGGTTGCCTATCATCATATGGTTGCGTGAAGGGTTGCGTAGTCATCATACTGTTGCCTATCATCATACGGTTGCGTGTAGGGTTAGGTAGTCATACTGTAGCGTGTAGGGTTGCCTATCATCATACTGATGCGTGTAGGGTTGCCTATCATACTGTTGCGTGAAGGGTTGCGTAGTCATCATACTGTTGCGTGTAGGGTTGCCTATCATCATACGGTAGCGTGAAGGGTTGCGTAGTCATCATACTGTTGCGTGTAGGGTTGCCTATCATCATACGGTTGCGTGTAGGGTTGCATAGTCATCATACTGTTGCGTGTAGGGTTGCCTATCATCAAACTGTTGCGTGTAGGGTTGCCTATCATCATATTGTTGCGTGAAGGGTTGCGTAGTCATCATACTGTTGCGTGTAGGGTTGCCTATCATCATACGGTTGCGTGAAGGGTTGTGTAGTCATCATACTGTTGCGTGTAGGGTTGCCTATCATCATACGGTTGCGTGTAGGGTTGCGTAGTCATCATACTGTTGCGTGTAGGGTTGCCTATCATCATACTGTTGCGTGTAGGGTTGCCTATCATCATACTGTTGTGTGTATGGTTGCCTATCATCATACTGTTGCGTGTAGGGTTGCCTATCATCATACTGTTGCATGTAGGGTTGCCTATTATCATACTGTTGCGTGTAGGGTTGCCTATCATCATACGGTTGCGTGTAGGGTTGCCTATCATCATACTGTTGCGTGTAGGGTTGCCTATTATCATACGGTTGCGTGTAGGGTTGTGTAGTCATCATACAGTTGCGTGTAGGGTTGCCTATCATCATACGGTTGCGTGTAGGGTTGCGTAGTCATCATACTGTTGCGTGTAGGGTTGCCTATCATCATACGGTTGCTTGAAGGGTTGCGTAGTCATTATACTGTTGCGTGTAGGGTTGCCTATCATCATACGGTTGCGTGTAGGGTTGCCTATCATCATACGGTTGCGTGTAGGGTTGCGTAGTCATCATACTGTTGCGTGTAGGGTTGCCTATCATCATATAGTTGTGTGAAGGGTTGCGTAGTCATCATACTGTTGCGTGTAGGGTTGCCTATCATCATACGGTTGTGTGAAGGGTTGCGTAGTCATCATACGGTTGCGTGTAGGGTTTCCTATCATCATACGGTTGCGTGTAGGGTTGCGTAGTCATCATACTGTTGCGTGTAGGGTTGCCTATCATCATACGGTTGCGTGAAGGGTTGCGTAGTCATCATACTGTTGCGTGTAGGGTTGCCTATCATCATACAGTTGCGTAAAGGGTTGCGTAGTCATCATACGTTTGCGTGTAGGGTTGCCTATCATCATACGGTTGCGTAAAGGGTTGCGTAGTCATCATACGGTTGCGTGTAGGGTTGCCTATCATCATACGGTTGCGTGTAGGGTTGCCTATCATCATACGGTTGCGTGTAGGGTTGCCTATCATCATATGGTTGCGTGTAGGGTTGCCTATCATCATATGGTTGCGTGTAGGGTTGCCTATAATCATACGGTTGCGTGTAGGGTTGCGTAGTCATCATACGGTTGCGTGTAGGGTTGCCTATCATCATACGGTTGCGTGTAGGGTTTGGGTTAGGGGTTAGGGTTAGATGTGAAAATTTTGACGTAGGAGTTCCAAATACTGGCCGACAATCTGATGCTTGTGGGAGTGGCGCCACTGAAATTCTGCCAAATATGACGCCAATAGCGCGCGGCTGGTGCCCAATCGTTGGCGAACTGTCCGTTTGACTAGCATCCACAGGCCTTCGATTGTTTGTGTGTGTATGTGACTGCGCGACGTCGACAAAGTTGGTCCGGTGGACTACTACCTCGTGCAGATAGATGCCATGCCTTAAGTTTGCGACGTTGCTGTAGCCTCGCCAAGCGCCAATTTTCACATCTAACCCTACCCCTAACCCTAACCCAAACCCTACACAACCCTACACGCAACCGTATGATGATAGACACCCTACGCAACCCTACACGCAACGGTATGATGACTACGCAAACCTTCACGCAACTGTATGATGACTACGCAACCGTACGCAACCCTACACGCAACCGTATGATCATAGCTAAGTATGTCATTTGATTCGTGACTTTTCCACTCACTGTTTGCAGTGCGGCCAAGGGAGAGAACTCCCACTAAACTGAACTAAGCCGTCCAGCCCGCGTCCGGTATTGAAAGAAGAGCTGAAAATTTATTGTCTGCATATTTTAGAATTTCAAAAAGGCATACAGAATAAAATAGCATATCTATGCATCCAATAATAATGTTGAATTAAGAATCAACATTGCATCACTTGGAACTTTTTCCATATGCACTCCCTCCCCATCTGCAGCAACAAGCGCAGAGTACCAGTGCCACCAGTAACAGTCCGTGTTCGTCTCACCTTTTCCTTGTGTGTTTAGCTTCCCCTAGCTCTCCTAGCCTCTCCTTATGGCACCATTCTCCTCAGACCAACACACCGGAATGCCAAACTGCCAATTACTGCCTTTCTTTTACCACTTTTGCGGTGTAGGCAGGGGGGTCTTTGAACCTGAGGATTTAGGGCCGCATGGCTAGTGCTGTCGCCTCGACTGTGCAGGTGAAGATTTTATTTTGCCCTCGACAGAAGAAATCCCAAGCCTTACCGAGAGAATTCGAACCCGGGTCTCTCACACACTGGAATGACCTGCAGAAAATATCCAAAGGACTAACTACTGGGACCTCTGAAATGATGCTTGCCATTCTGTTTGGAGCATACCTGTCTCCCCATTCTCACCATGGTCTACTAGTCACCCTGGTGAGATATAATGAATTGTGCCAGGCAGTAATTTGGGATATTTATTGTATTGTGTCTTCCTTATTGAAATATAAAATATAGGAGACTTGCTTTTAAATTCAGCCGCAACTTGCTGCAGCCCACGGCCGGTGTTCAAAACTGGACGATTCCAGGGGTTCACCCAGCCTCTAGGAAATGGGTACCAGAGTCAACACTCTGGGATAAATGGAGGAATGACCCTGTAGCTAATCAGTTGCGTGCAGACGGTGACACAGGCAGACAGTTTCCTATCAGCTGTCCGTACTGGTGGCAGAGCACTTATGGTTTATAACCATGTGCAGTGACACTGGTTCAAATCTCCCGACTTTTTTTAAATTTAGCGGACAACAATCCAAATAGGCTGCAACGACTTGCGAGGCATCTAGAAGAGGGGGAGCTGAACAGTGGAGACGGCTAAAAAAACCGGTATAACAGGCATTCTATCTACAGACACTGTTCCTTGTCCTCTTTGTCCTAGATCCTTTCGGACCCGTACTGGGCATATGTCACCTGTGGACTCACAGACAGTCAACTTTAGTTTCATGACAGATTAAAGAAAGAGTGGTTTTCGCCATTTGTGATGGACGAACACCTAATCATTTTTCTTCTTCACCCCCTTTTTCACAGCTTGCGGTGTTGAGGAAGTTAGTTTCCGCTTCTTGCTCTTCTGGCCGCTTCGACCATAGACACATCATGCTGTTGTAGTTTCTCTGACATTACCTTTCCATCTTATTCTTGGTCTACCTCAGCGGTTCTTAAACTTGTTTTGCCGCGGCATGCTTGTCGTGCTGGAAAAATAATTGCGTCACATCTAGAGTTAAAGTGGTTGAAAAAAAAAACTGCAGATTTCTTCTTCGCATTCACCAGCTGTAAACTCCGGCGGAAAGTTCTGGTTGTTTGTTCACTCCTGGAATGTAGTCCGGCTCTAGAATCTGAGTGTTGCATGTGCATCCGTTTTTTTTTTTGAAGGAAGCTCCCAATTAGTCAACTAATATGACATGCTTTTGTGGGAGGCAGTGGGTCTGTTTTTCCTATAATAGGGCCCCGGAACCCATACAGGGACGTGCAAATTTAATGTTTACTTGTTTTTAATGTGATGAATGAAACTGTTTGAATGAATTTTTCATTATTGCTGTGGCACCCCTGACATAGGCATACGGCACCCCATGGTATCACAGCACCCAGTTTGAGAACCGCTGGTCTGCCTCATGCTCTTTGTCCATGTCCTCTTTTAATGTCTGCCTTGTATTTTATGGCGTCACAAGGCATACCATTCGATTTGCTGTCAATAAATCATTTATCAATAATAATGTCTGCTAAGTGAAATATGGTTGGGGTTTCAGAGGCTGAAGGCTTCCATGTACCTGACCATCAAACAGATTGCCAGGGAGGTGGAGGAGGAGATGGAGATCCCTGTCAGTGCTCAAGTCCTGGCCACTTTGTCTGAGACCTTAGCACGCCAGGTGGAAGTTTATGCCTCGGATCTGGAAGACTTTGCCAAGTGAGCAATAAGGTTTTACATGGAAAAGTCACTGTGTGTGTAAACAAGTGTGTGTGGTGGTTTGTGCTTGTGTATCTCCTTGTCACTGAGTTATGGTTTGATTTTTTTTCATATTTTCTATCAACATTGACATTAATCTCTAATTGAAAGGAATGTTATTTCAGTTTATTGTGTTCTTGTAGTTAATAAAACTATAGCCGTTATGGGGGTTCACCATTGGGGGAAGGGAGGGGGAAGGGATACACCCACTGCCACCCACCAGGCATATTGTAAAAGTCCACTAATCACGTTTGTTTCCTTGAAAGTTGGAGTGTGAAAGGCAAGAAACTAACAGTCTGCATATAAATAAGCCAGTTCTGTAAACTGGGTGTGCATGCAAAACTAAAGTTCTGGAAAAAAGATTAAACTGTCCACAAGTGGAATAACAACTAGAACTTAACACCAGAGTTTACAGCTGTGAAGAAGAAGAAGAAGAGTTCCAGATAATAATGCAAGGGTGAGCATTGCTCATGAACTGTGAGAATTTACCTTGTCAGAAATCACATTTAGCATATTTCTTATGTTAGTTGAACATTTAACAAAAGAAACAAATATTTTGTAAATTTGAGATTATTGACATGTTAAAAAAAAAAAGGTATAATTATTGATTTTATTTGGCAATTTTGTTTGACTTAGACCTAAACATGACGTTAACAAAAATTTAACTTTCCTTGTAGACATGTCGGGAGTCACCGTGGCCGAGCAGCTAGACGCTCACCGCTGATCGGAAGGTCGTGGGTTCGCTCCCTGGAGGAGCCAGACTTTTTTCAAAAATGACCTTGGCTCCCAGGTCAACCCAGCCTTGAGTGGCTACCAGGTGCAGTCCTGGAAAAGTAAAGGCGGCTGGCGAGAGGCTGACCATATCACCCATCTTGTGCCGACTGGTCTATAAAAATATAGGTCTAGCCCTATATGTCCTATACGCCTAAAGGCGGGGAAAAGGGTCATTTACTTTTTTTTTTAACCTACTTATAGACATGCCCGACGTACAAATGTGAATACTGATGATGTCAAGTTGTTGGCCAGAAGGAATACCACACTGGTTAGTAACAATTTGTTAAACCCACCCCCACCCACACATGTTTTTTTGGTGTGATTGTCTTGCCAGTTTTTTTTTTCATGTGTGGTGAATAACAGATGGGTAGATGTCGAGGTTGGCCTCTACTATAAAGAGGTGTGTTGGACATGACAGAACGAACGAACGAACTTTATTTTCAAAGGGTCACAAATTGGGCACGCAGGCCCGTCTTACATTCGGCCCTTCCAGTCAACCATCTTTCGCACAGCAGTTGTATTTTACTAATAAAGCATGTTATGATCATATGATGTTATGCATATTATGAATATTATAAAAGAACACAAAAGCATGAGTTGTAAAGTGCATGCAAAACCCCGCGCGTGCATACATACACCCGAATACACACGCTCACCCACTCACTTACACACACAAACATGCCTGCATACATTCCATACATACATACACAGATACATATAAACAAACATGCATACACACAGGCATACGTACATTTTGAGATGGGAACAAAATGCTAAGAACTGTGTTGCAAGAAGGGTCAGAGGAAGAGAATGAAAAGACAAGGAAAACAAAATGATCACAGACAGGCTGAGAACTGCGCATCTGAGAAAAAGCACACAGATACTGCAAGTTATGGCAACAACGGTCCTGAAAGCCCATGCTCTAATTGTTGTGGACTTTTTTTTTGAAAACTATGGCAGGTCTTGCTAGTCACACTCGCCAACGCCACAGGCTGTGATTCCCATGCCTGCCCAGAGCACATCCGGTTGACAGGTCTGGCTTTTCTGTGTGCAGACGTGGTTCCTTGCCTCCCCAGAGCACATCCGGTTGACAGGTCTGGCTTATCTGTGTGCAGACGTGGTTCCTTGCCTCCCCAGAGCACATCCGGTTGACAGGTCTGGCTTATCTGTGTGCAGACGTGGTTCCTTGCCTCCCCAGAGCACATCCGGTTGACAGGTCTGGCTTATGTGTGTGCAGACTACTGGTTCCTTGCCACTGAGGCACATGCACTCCAGCTTCAAAGGAAACATCACTAATTAGTGGATGTGAACCTTTCACGACCAGCTTGTTAGCAGTGGGTTTAAACTTTAACCCCTCACCCTTAGGGCCGCCTTTCACTGGGGCACCAGAACGCATAGAGAAAAAAACCCCCCCCCCCCCCTCCCTCGCACTTAGGGCCGCTTTACACTGGGGCACCAGAACACATACAAAAAACAGTCTTCAAATTTGAACTTTTCCCTGATAATAATTAATTTGTTGTTCTTCTTCTTATTATTTTGTTGTCTCACTGATACCATGTTTTAGCCCAGCTTTGTGAATTTCTGCATTTGTCCAGCACTTCTAAGGTGATGGATTTATTATTTTTTCGCAGGTTTCTGCTAAACTGTTTATTCATCTCTTTCTTGGTCTTCCTCCCACCTTCCACCCAGATGTTCTGCTGTAAAAAGTTTCCTATGCAAATTGGCTGCGTTCTCCCTAGATGGCCAATCGTATTCCTGATAGTTACTTTGATCATATCCTAAATAATTAATTGGTTACCCATGATACTTAATTCAATCATATCCTTAATAAATAATTTTTTAATATACCTAATCATTAATACAGTTTCTGTAGATTATATTTTTTCTTCTTCTACTTCTTCGTGTTTACCAGCTGTAAACTCTGGCGGAAAGTTCTGGTTGTTAATCCACTCCTGAACTGCAGTTGTGTTCCAGAACCTGAGTGTTGCGTGTGCATCCGTTTGACAGATCTGACTCATTTGTATGCAGACTGCTGGTTTCTTGCCTCTCAGGCAGATGCACTCCGACTTCAAAGGAAGCTCCCAATTAGTCGTCTCTTACGACATGCTTTTGGGTAGGCAGTGGGTCTATTCTTGTTTTCCCTATAACAGGACCCCGGAACCTACACGGGGAATTTTTTTTTCTTTCTAATGAAGGCAGTAGTTTAAATCTGTTTTAATGATAGTAGTGAAACCTCAAATGGAAAACTGACTGAAAAAGTAGTTTTCTGTGTTGCAACAAAAACCATGTGACCTGTTCTCTTGTCAGGAATGACAGACTTTTGCTTTTTATAATCCATGACATGTGGCGTTGGTAGTCATATTTATTCGCAACCTTCTGTTTTGTGTGCAGTTCTAACACAGATGATCTTCCACGCCAATATGTCAGACTGTCTAGCAATCTTCTCTCTCTGTCGCTCTCTACCTCTCTTTTCCCCTCAACTTTCCACTGTCACCATGTACCCCAGTTTTCGTCTCTTCGCATTGAAATGACCAAAAAGACTCTTGGTGAGTCAGTTTCTCAAGAAATCTGGCAACTTTTTTATGTCCAGGGTTTCTTATCATTCACCCATAAAGCCACATCTCCGCACTTCCAAATAACTAACGCATTGAAATACTGAAGCTAATCCATTCTGTAACACAGCTGCAACATTGGAACAGTATCATCGACGGTGAAAAAAGTGCGCAGCAGGAGCACAAGAAGGAAGCCGAGGGTGGCAGCAAAGAAGACACATCATCCTGAACCTGAGGACACTACTAATGATTGAGAGAACTAATGATTTAAGTGAATAATGACCGATTTGACTAATGATTAAGGCGACTAATTCTTCTTCTTCTTTCTTTCATTCGTTTGAAATAAATTATCTATATCTGCAGCACTTTGTCTGGTATGTCGTTTTTAATTCACTAAATGGCCTGTAAAGTTTGGTTTCCACTAGTGCCTCTGTCGACCAGAAGTCTTGCCTGAAAATATTGTGTTTGGGACAGTTTTGGAGGATGTGATCTGTTGTCTCAGGTGCCAGTCCACGTGTGCACACGGCCGACTCACCAATCTTAAATTTTGTGTACATGAGTTGAATCGAGTCAAGAATTGACATCACAGCACTCGGGCATTACTGTGCATGCTCTGTCCTCATCTTCAGCAGCCAGCGCGCAGAGTTCCAGTACTTATAGTACCAAGCACAATCGGTTGGTTATATGTCCATCTGGCCTTTCCTCTGAGTGTGGTGAGCCGCGCAAGACCCTCTGGTTACACCCCAGATTAATGACTGTAAATGATTGATGTGACTAATGATTGAAGCAAGGTTTTGGGGAGTTGATTGATGTTGGTTCCACGTGTGTTACATGTCATCTGTGTCATCTTGATCCACATCCACTTTTATTCTTCATCTCAGCATTTACTGGCTGTAAAACTTCAGTGGAATAGGTCTGGTTGTTTGTCCACTTCTAGACTTGTGGTTTAATCTAGAACTTGACTTTTGTTTCGCGTGCATCTATTATACAGATCTGCTTTATTTATGTGTAAGCCCGACTCGCTAGCATAGTTGGTTAAACCTGACTTCGCAGTGACCGGGTGACGAACTCCTTGTGGTCCGGGTTCACGCCCGGGGGTAGGCAGGAAAGCCACATTTCTCCCAGATTTACGGTATCTATCATGGAATCAAGGTCGAAGGGTTGCAATATCCATAGTACCGAGCCAGAGTGTTAACAGCTCATGATTTCTGGATACTTGAAAATTATGTATATGTAACTGTTGATTCCTCGCCTGCCAGGCAAATGTATTCTGACTTTGAAGGAAACTCTCCTAATTAATCACTTTTCACAGCAAGCTCGTTATTGGGTGAGTCAGTTCTTTGTTGTTTTCTCCATAACAGAGAACAGGTTATTGCCATCTGCTGTCATCAGTCTCTTCCCCCCCCCCCCACCCCTCAAATACTGTCCTATCTCTGAGGTTAGTGCTACCTGCTGTCATGTCTCTGAGGTTAGTTCCGCCTGCTGTCATGAGTATTCCCATCTACCACTGTCCTGTCTCTGAGGTTAGTTCCGCCTGCTGTCATGAGTGTTCCCATCTAACACTGTCCTGTCTCTGAGGTTAGTTCCGCCTGCTATCATGCATGTTCCCATCTAACACTGTCCTGTCTCTGAGGTTAGTTCCACCTACTGTCATGAGAATTCCCATCTACCACTGTCCTGTCTCTGAGGTTAGTTCTGCCTGCTGTCATGAGTATTCCCATCTACCACTGTCCTGTCTATGAGGTTAGTTCCGCCTGCTGTCTTGAGTGTTCCCATCTACCACTGTCCTGTCTCTGAGGTTAATTTCACCTGCAATCATGCATGTTCCCATCTAACACTGTCCTGTCTCTGAGGTTAGTTCCGCCTGCTGTCATGAGTGTTCCCATCTAACACTGTCCTGTCTCTGAGGTTAGTTCCGCCTGCTGTCATGAGTATTCCCATCTACCACTGTCCTGTCTCTGGGGTTAGTTCTGCCTGCTGTCATGAGTATTCCTATCTACCACTGTCCTGTCTCTGAGGTTAGTTCCGCCTGCTGTCTTGAGTGTTCCCATCTACCACTGTCCTGTCTCTGAGGTTAATTTCACCTGCTATCATGCATGTTCCCATCTAACACTGTCCTGTCTTTGAGGTTAGTTACACCTGCTGTCATGAGTGTTCCCATCTAACACTGTCCTGTCTCTGAGGTTAGTTCCGCCTACTGTCATGAGTGTTCCCATTTAGCACTGTCTTGTCTCTGAGTTTAGTTCTGCCTGCTATCATGCATGTTCCCATCTAACACTGTCCTGTCTTTGAGGTTAGTTCCACCTGCTATCATGAGTGTTCCCATCTAACACTGTCCTGTCTCTGAGGTTTGTTCCACCTCTGTCATGAGTGTTCCCATTTAGCACTGTCCTGCCTCTGAGGTTCGCCCTCAGACTGCCCAATATTCGCCTTTAGTACCGGCATCTTTTATGCAGCACCATCTATCACAGATTCCTACAGTGTTCAGATCCAGAGCAACACTGATGGAGACTCAGAAAAACTGAAAACACAGGAAAAGATCAGAAAACACAGGAAGTCATATTTAAAGAGCATTATTTTACCTCATTTAATGGCGAGATAGCAAATATCAATACATATAATAGTACACAAAACATTGTACATAGGGTGATTGTTTTGTTCATAAATATTATTTGGCAAAGTAGTTCAAAACCTAAACAAATGATTCTATATATAATATATATGTATAGTACACAAATCCGTTATCTTTGTGTATAGGTCAAAGATTACCAATCCTTTTATTGTGAAGATGATGGTGTATGAATCGAGGATTGTTACTTCTAGAATACATATGGATTTCTTTTCCTTGCATTGCTGGCAGATATTAGTTCATGTGTGGATCACATATTATTTTCCTTCCTGCTGTGTATGTGAAGTAATACCAATTGTAGACGAGATGTCAGTATTGTGCTAATGAAGGATCCTAGTGGGATGGGATGCCAGTGTTGTGCAAATGAAGGATCCTAGTGTGTAGATGGGATGCCTGTATTGTGCTAATGAAGGATCCTAGTGTGTAAATGGGATGCCAGTATTGTGCAAATGAAGGATCTTAGTGTGTAAATGGGATGCCTGTATTGTGCAAATGAAGGATCCTAGTGTGTAGATGGGATGTCTGTATTGTGCAAATGAAGAATCCTAGTGTGTAAATGGGATGCCTGTATTGTGCAAATGAAGGATCCTAGTGTGTAAATGGGATGCCTGTATTGTGCAAATGAAGGATCCTAAGATGGGATGCCAGTATTGTGTTGAAGGATTCTAGTGTGTAGATGGGATACCTGTATTTTGCTAATGCAGGATCCTAGTGTGTGGATGGGATACCTGTATTTTGCTAATGAAGAATCCTAGTGTGTAGATGGGATACCTGTATTTTGCTAATGAAGGATTCTATTGTGTAGATGGGATACCTGTATTTTGCTAATGAAGGATTCTAGTGTGTAGATGGGATACCTGTATTTTGCTAATGAAGGATTCTAGTGTGTAGATGGGATACCTGTATTTTGCTAATGAAGAATCCTAGTGTGTAGATGGGATGCCAGTGTTGTGCTAATGAAGGATCCTAGTGTGTAGATGGGATGCCCGTATTGTCCTAATAAAAGATTCTATTGTGTAGATGGAATTCCAGTATTGCATTTTTGTTTTTTACATACATGAAGCTGCAATCTATCATATAAAGAAACATAATTTTTTCTGTGAAAATCTTTTCTGTGTAATATGTACTCACTGCTCGTGAAACTACACGAAATGTTTATGAAATTATGGAGGCTACATGGACATGAAATGTTTATGAAATTATGGAGGCTACATGGACATGAAATGTTTATGAAATTATGGAGGCTACATGGACATGAAATTTTTATGAAATTATGGAGGCTACATGGACATAAAATGTTTATGAAATTATGGAGGCTACATGGACATGAAATGTTTATGAAATTATGGAGGCTACATGGACATGAAATGTTTATGAAATTATGGAGGCTACATGGACATGAAATGTTTATGAAATTATGGAGGCTACATGGACATAAAATGTTTATGAAATTATGGAGGCTACATGGACATGAAATGTTTATGAAATTATGGAGGCTACATGGACATGAAATGTTTATGAAATTATGGAGGCTAGATGGACATAAAATGTCCACTTGAGGAAAGCTTCATTGCTGGACATGAGAGTTTGGATAATGTAGAATTTTATACATGAATAAATATAGACGTCTGTGTATGAAAAAGTAAAACATCCCCAGAAAACATGCCCTAGTGCATTTGTTAAAGCAAAAACTAAAAGACCTGGTCTTATTTTTGGGGGAAACATGGTGTGTAGGATGATCATGGTGAAGTCGCATTGAACCACATAAAGTGCTCTCATTAGATATGACTGAGTAGTTTATACATGGTACATTTGGGACACTTTTGTTACAAATGACATACCCCACTGTAAAAAACATGACACGTGACATTTTTGACATAGTGACATATGGCAGTAAAATTTTTTTTACATATTACATCCAAATACATGTGTGTGATTACATCTTTAGAAAAAAAAACTGCTTGGGTCATGTATGATGTTGTGGGCTAATTAATGTGATATCTGAGGACGTATGTACGCAACCATGTCTAGACTATATGTTAGTGTTTTAGCTGATGATATTTGTACGCAACAACTTCCAAACTATCTTTTGATACCTGAACTGATGATGTTTGTTGGCAGCCACCTCCCCAATATACATTGATGTTTGATCTTAGGATGTTTGAATGCAACCACCTTCAGATGTTATGCTGATGTTTGATTTGAGGATGTTTGCGTGCAACCACCCCAGAATATACATTGATGTTTGATCTTACGATGTTCATATGCAACCACCTCCAGATGTTATGCTGATGTTTGATTTGAGGATGTTTGCGTGCAACCACCCCAGAATATACGTTGATGTTTGATGTGAGGTTGATTTTTATGCAACCGTTTCCAAACTATACACTTATGTACATATTTGATCTGAGAACATTTGTACACAACTAACTTTAAACTATACATTCATGTGCATGTTTGATCTGGGGATTTGTGTACACAACCATCTTCAAACTATATGCTGAGGTTCCTCTTTAATCTAAGGATGTTTGTATGCAACCATCTGTGTACCATACTTTGATGTAACAGATCATAGACATTATTTACACAATCACATCCAA